TCCCTCGGGTAAGCGTGGTACCAGCGTATGAGCCCGCCAAAGTTTTTTTAAGGTAAGTCGCTAACTCGGGAATCTGAGAAGCTAGAAGACTGGGATTTTGAGGTGATGTTTCCTGACAGTTCTGGCGGCCAGGCTGAAATTCTTTCAGCAAGAAGCATCTGCCGAAAAAACCGATGCCAGTAATGACAAAAACTGCGGGGAACTCTGCAAAAAACGCATCTTCGCACGGGCAGCCCGTGCGTTGGCCAAGTTTCACTCATTTTCAATCGAAAGCCAGAGAAGCTAAGGAGATGAAACTTTAAAAGGCCAGCGTTCGATACTTTTCTTTTAACCTTAAATGTAGGAAAAAGTAATCAAAAAAATTAAAAAATTTACTGTTAAAAAACTGGATGCATTATGGCGATCCTTCTCAGTCAAATGTGGAAGATGTGGCGAGTGAAAAAGTTGTAGTGGCATCTGTCCGTATGTTTTCACCATTGTTCGTAGTGCCGTTAAAGACAGCTCGTCGTGCTCCTCGTTCACACTGTTCATTGTGCTTGCTCGATAGGTCTACAAGGTGTAAGTGGTACTAAAAAATATCGGAAGAAACAGCCAGACCATTTGTGTGAAATTCATCAGGCCACGGAAATATGGGCATATACTCGATGTACGGTTTTTTTTTTAATATTTTTTGTAAAAGCAAAGCTAAATTTGAAGCTGAATGTAGTAATGTCAAGATCTTGGACCCTGTCACCACCATATAGCAAACACCATCTTTTCTACATCCTACGAGTAGTCTCTTTTTGCCTTACCGGAATGGATTTTTTTTTCCTGACAAGTGACAAATTGAATTAAAAATAAGCACCGCTGGATGGAATACGTTGATTGCATCGACTGCAGCTTTTCCGGTTTGCTTGTAACCAAAAATCAAATCGATCCAGTGATTGAGGCTCGATGAGACCACCGATGATTCGAGCGCTTGTCGGTGAATTAGCACAAATAGTCGTGGCAATCCCAAACACCTGCAAATCACTCAATTGAAAAAAAAAAATGGTAGTGCACCAAATGCTGGGTGTTAGAGGGGTAAAAGACATAATCTTAAAATTTCAGCTTCCCAGCTTTCGCGGTTCCCGAGCTGAAAATCCGCGGATGAAATGCGCTCGAAACACACACACACAAACACACTCACAAGGTCTCGACAATATGCATTCTGTGCAACTGTTCTAGCAAAAAACGCATAAAAATTTGATTACCATTTCGGCAGAATGACGTCATTCACAACATCGCCATTCTGTCT